AAAAATCCGCTTAGGTGATTATCGCGTAATAATCCGAGGTCGCTTGACCAATCAGCGGCCACAATTTTCGATAATCACCTTTGTAATTATACTAAATATATATATTCCTATAGGCTATTTTATCTGAAGAGTGCCACGTTATTTACGTGGTACGAAACTGTATAGTAATAAATATGCCAAACAAAGCTTGCTAAGTTTTTGTGTCTTTCTATTATGCTCTGGTTATCCATTGAGCATTCTATCATTGGTTTTTATAACCCAACATAATATATATATATATATATATATATATATATATATATATATATATATATATATATATATATATATATATATATATATATATATATATATATATATATATATATATATAATATAAATAAAATAATTGTACCTTAATTTAAATATGCTCTGGTTAATATATCAGCAGACAATCTCCGTTTGTTTATTAAGGTGTTGATGACATTCAAACTGTTGCAAGAAAAGAAGCTTGACTGTTTGGATGATTCTTTACAGAAATTTTTACCAGAATTTTCGGTAGAAAATCCTTTTAATGAGGATACTATTACAATAAGGTATATAGGTTTAAAAGTTCATAAATTTATAAGCAGATTTGTTTTTTTTAGAATAAACTGCATGGAATCTTTGCATTCAACGTATTCTTGAACCTCATATATTTATGAGCGTCATCACTGTCATGTGCAAATGAATAATATTATACATGCTCAAAAAATATTAGACTTGACATACGAGAAACAGAGTTGATGAGAGTTGGCAAGCGAGAGATCGCTGGAGAGTTTCAACTAGCCCGCGTGCAGGCCCAAGCCAAGGGAAGAATAGTGGGCCTGCAAGCAAGGCCCGGTATTTTGTACTTTCCGCGTTCGCCCACGAACGCAGCACTATGATTCTGATTGGCTGTTTGCTGTTGGATTATATAATTAGATCAGTGGTTCATCACAAAGGCTCTCGATAAGCTTAAAATTCGAAAATTGATCACTTTTTCGATTAAAAATGGAACAAGAACAGACTGTTTATTGTTTACTTGAAGGAAGAGATGTTTTTGCCGTTATGCCAATGGGGATTGCTTGTTGTGAAGTGTTGGAATAGCAACATTAGTGTCATTACGACTGGGGTAAACTATAGTAACCTTTACCCGAGTTTCATTAATTTCAAACAGACTTGATACGTTATATGTTCCTCAAGAAAATTATCTTTTGGTTGATGTTGACTCTGTTCTTGCACTGAAGAAAACAGCGCTTTTCGCGGTGAAGATTTAGAGGCAGTTGCATGTAAGCCTATTCGAAACACTTCGCGATTTGCAAGGTTTCGCTGAGATAGCGAAACAGAAGACAGTAATTAGAGAGGTTAAGATACCCCGGTTCCGGTTTACGGGTACGTGTATCGCCATTTTGTTTACCAATTTTTGCTGATGTCAGCAATTTTACCCGTAATTTCTACGCGTTTCTCCGCGGTAAACCGTGGTCTACACGTAAACGGGTACGGGTGTTTTCTGTTTACTATTTTTGGGCCGTTTAAATAGTACAAATTTTCAACATCTTAGCCAAATAAATAATGCACATATGCTTGTCAAAGTTTTCAACAATTTATGGTGAACCTCAACAGCGAAAGTTGCCATTCTCTGATCGGTTTTCCATCGCCGGAGTATCTTGGATTTCTTAAGTTACAAGTTATTCCCCGATTTACGGGTACGGGTACGTGTATATCATCCGTACCCGTAAACCGGAATCGGGGGATCTTAACCTCTCTATTATTGCCGTTTGAAACGAAACGATCTGGACTCTGAACGCTCTCTTCTTTTGTATATAGTTCTTTACCAAATGAAATAACTGAAATAAATTTCGTACTTTCCGCCGCCAACAAGAATTGCATACACGATCTGATAAGTGAGACAGTTTATTTATAACAATGGCGACAGCGAAGCACATTAATGCAAATGTGGTCGCACGACTTCCTTCACGATTTGAAGTTTGAGACTGGTTTTCTGTTGAAATTCGTCCTAATGGCCTGTACCGATTTTAGTTGAAAATGAGTACTTGCAAATTTGGCAATTACTGACTGCGTTGCTTGCCGTTTTTTTGGAGTTAAAACACAGCCATTTACACATTGTTTCTATTTTGAATATTAAAGCAGAGGAAACCCCGCAACATTTTAATGCAAGTTTGTTTGTTACTATTTGGGTTGCTGTCATATTGGTTCTTTTTTGACAATTGACGCGCGAATGGGGTGTGTTATGAAAAGGGGCGTTTTACAAAATACCGGGCCTTGCTTGCAGGCCCACTATTCTTCCCTTGGGCCTGCACGCGGGCTAAATTTCAACTCTCATGCCCAGGAAAACGAGAATAATTAATTAAGAGTTGCATATAAAAGTTGACTGCAAGAATTGACTGGATCTTGTATATCGGATTACCAATTAATTAAACAAGTCAGTTAGAATTTGGACCAGTCCAAGTTTGGAACAATGGTTAATATAAAACCTAAGTGTATGCATTCATGTATTGACTATTGTATTTCCTGTAGACAAATTCTCAGTCATACCTCTGGCTTGCCAAGAGAAGTTCCCTGTGGTCCATCGTTCTCTTCTAACCATAAAAATATTTGTCCAGTGAATACGACATATGTTTATGAAAAACTAAAAAGTACAAAGTTAAAATTTTCACCTGGCACATCTGTGGGCTATAGGTATGAACCCTCATTTTGTTATTTACTATATATCTTGCCTTTGAACAACTTTTTTCACAAAAGTATATTATCTCGGTAAAAAGCCAAAACTCCCAGATTATAAGTTTGAACAGAATTGAACTTACATATTCAGCGAACAAGGCCATGCACTGCATGCATCATGTGAATAGATCTATCTGATCAACTTAATAAAAGAAACAAGTTCGAGTTAATTCACGCTATAGTATGCAGTTTTTCAACACGGTTTAAAAGTCCTATATAATAAGGAAAACATCTAAAAAATTGTAATGTGTTCGTGTTCTTTATTTTTAAAATCTCATTTCTAACATGGTCTTTCATTTGGCATGGTTTTGCGAGGGTCCTGACGGGGAATCAGGTTCCATTTCCCAACCTATTTTTTCTCTTAATTCATTTCCCAAGTCCCAGTCTCAAATACGAAAACGAAAGAAAATCCTAAGGTACAGGTATTTCATCCATGTGTTTGTCTTTAAAACACAATTTTTCGTTTATTAATTTGGAACTTACTGGAGTAAAACATGACGTTTTGCACTTTTGCAGTGTAAAACATGGTATAGACTTACATGACAGGTCAAACCGGATGTATATATAAATCACTGACTCAAAATCCCTGAAAAGTATCGAGTCGAAGGGGCAAAGGGGGCAATTTGCCCCAGGCCCCCATGTTATTTCCGTTCCTATTTTTGTGTCTCTCACTCCCAGACCCGGTAACTTAAATCCCATTTTCTCAATCGAAAAATAGGCAATTCCCAGTTCCCATTTTAGCCCTTCAGGACTCTCTTTCGCGATGATTGTTCAAAACTAAAATCGGATCAATTTATCTGAAATTTTTCTTCATCGTATAATTTGGTTTTTACCGTAGCCAGCGAGTAGGCTCAGGCGGGCCTGCTTGCAGGCTCAGGAGGGCCTGCTCGCAAACTATTTCTAGCAGTGTCAATAGACACGAACTTAAATTACATCCATTTGCTCACTTGTAACACGGCTGAAAGCACACCGTAACACACCAAGATTGATATTCTACCTTAATTTCTTTCTCTCTTTAGTAATCTTGGCTATGCCATTTTGGCGCATGCCTTATTTGAAAAATTTGGTGGAAGATATGGAAGTTGGCAACAATGGATGTTACATGAAATATTATATCCGCTTGGTATGACGAGGACCGTTTTGAATAACAACAGGTATTTGAATCTAATTTAAAATTTGTTTACATTGAGTTGAATGACTACAGCATTATAGCAAACTATTACAGAACTATTCGCAAGATATAGAGTTATTATAAACCAGCGGCTCCGCGCTACCGGACTTAATTTGCGCGCGGAATTCATGTTTTGGTTGGCACAAAGTAAACGGTATTGATGAAAGTTATTTTATTACTGTCACGTCTTTTAACAGCTTAGCTTTTTCCTGCAATAGGCAATTCCAGCTTTTAGTAATGGTATCATAATGCTGGTTATGCTAAAAAAATAAAAATAGTGGCCGTGTAAACACGGAGTGATAGCTAGACTTGGATCAAGTCCGTCTCTCTAGAGTTGGAGTCGCGAAGCGACGAGATCGAGGGCACCTCGCGCTCTCCCTCGGACTCTAGAGAGACGGACTTGATCCAAGTCTAAGTGATAGCTTACACTTGTAAATATTGAAATATTTCGGCAGTTTTTATTGAATCAGCAATATGATACCTTACTTCCCATCACCCCCTGGTTGTGAACTGTGAAGATTGCATCAGGAAAATAACGGTTAATTGAGCAGGTATCATGCAATTTGTTAAAAACTTTACTCGGCGTCTGTACCGTACTGTTAATGATGGATTGGTTAAAATAACCAATTTGAATTGGTCGTCTCAGATGCATCTTTTTTAAGCACTATTATTTGGTAAAAACAACCGAAAAATTGGTTAAAATAACCCAATTTTGGTTGCTTTAGTTATTTTAACCAATCTGTTTTTACAGTGTAAACTGGACTGACAATGTTGCAGCTAGAGAAGAACTTCTTTTGCAGACAGCGTTGATTTTCAGCTATACATCCATTTACATGTGATCGTTTACATCACCAGGCAACCATTGAAATTTTTAATTTAGATTTCACCACAACGTGGCTCTAAGTTACAAAACAAACGGTATTTTATCTCCACCATTTGACTGGGGTTGGTCGTCACCATCATTTCAGATGAAGACATCAGCTGCTGATCTAACAAAAGTAAGTTGACTGGATTTTTCCTTTTAAGTTTTTTTTGTTAATAATGTCACTTTGAACTATATTGTTATGCTACCAGTAGACTCGTTCATAAGAATATTGAGGTTGGAATTGGTAAAACCTTAAGAATACTAAGAATATGCCCAAAGTTGAGATTGTTCAACATATTGCTGTGGAAATATGGGGGGTGGGGGGGGGGGGAACTGTAATGAAATGTAACAAATTTATAAGCACATTCAACTAATATTATTCTAATCCCAATGGACTGAAAACAACAATGAACTGAACTAACAATTGAAATTATTTGACTGTAAACCAATAAGATTACATTCGGGTTGAACGGTGCGCAGATTATTCGAACTCGATAGATGATAGACAAATGAACACAGACACAGTTCGTAAATAAGGTTATACTTTATAATACGGATCCAAAATGTTCACGAGAATAGGTGATCGGTATAGGAATAGTCGTAATAGGATCGGAATAGTCGTATACAATCTGTTCGAACGTACTAAATAACACGCAACTAACTAAAAACTCGATCCCGTTGGCGCAACCAGATTGACAAGCTCTGATTGACACTAGATAAGCTGCATAGTTTGTGTCGCGTTAAGGTGATGATGACGTTTACAATACATTCGCGTTTTAAAACTAACAATTATTAGTTTCACCATATTATATTTGCCTCTTTTTAATACGAAGTTGATGCTGGCCATCTTAAATCCTGAAACGTCTTTCATTGATGAAAAAATGACAAGAGATATGTTTAAACCTGGTGAGAAACAATTCGTTTTCAATTTTTGATTCAGTAACACGTTAATAGGTAAATGATTGTCGACCTAGCTATACAATCATGGCAAAATTTCATAGACATGTAGCTGTAAACTAAAGTATTACTACGTGCAGATATTGGCATCTAGGTATCCCTCACTCCCCTCTACAATGCTGGTTGTGACATTTTATTTCACAGTTCACACAGCTTTCTCCTAACCAAATTTAATTTATATGACATTGAACGGAGGAAAGGGGAAGTTGAATATTGCTGTTTTTCCAAGGATATGATTGGGCAAGCCAGATATTTCTATTTATGCACTCGCTGTTCAATATAGTTTTTTTCCAGAATTTTCAGTATTATCAAATTAATTGCAATACATGACTTTCACTTTTTCTCCTTCTTTTAGACACCAATAATTTGATACTTTGAATTTTTTTGTGTTTCAGAGTTTATATTTCCTGACCTTCACACAATATTCAGCCCTGGATGGCAAATTCGTTACCACAATTCTGTTCGCGTAATAACCAAAGCAGGCACAGTTCCAGGCTCTTCAGCGGCAATAATATTAATGCCTGAACAGAGGTTTGGTAGGAAAAGCATTATGTTTAATTTGCTTCACTTTTGGTCATATACACTTGATCGACATTATCTTGCATGACTTTTAAGCCATGATTAAAATCACTTCCGATCTACAGACAATTAACACTATAAATACTGGAACGATAACTCCAGGTGTTTGGCCCTATGATTGGGTGAAGCCAAGTGGATGGCGGCCTATATAGAGTGCTCTCTTGTAGGTATAAAACACGCATGTTTTTCGCGTGGGCTTCGCGGGAGCTGAAGAATGACTAAGTTTTCCGATCGATGGTTTTCAATTTCTTTTGCACATAAATGCTCATTTTTCGTGGTAAATACCCTACTTAAAAGCTGAAAACTAAATGAAAAGGTTATTATTCTGTGTTTAGTTCAAATCCTTTATAGATAGTTTTTTTTTTCATTCGTCAAATAACTTTGCCTTTTCTTTGCCTTTTAAAATTTGCTTATTCTGAAAGACCACTCACTTGCTCTAGTCTCTTAGAACCATCGTAAAGCCGGACTTAAAAAATGTGGCTGAAAAATTATGAAATCTCTGCATGAAATGATACTGATTTTTCATACTAAATTCAGCGAATTTCCGCGTATAGGGCATACCTGTACCTACAAGAAGTTCACTATCTACAGAGCGTCAACGCAAGCACAAACTGACAATATCCGTTCGGCCGTGTATGAACCTATTTCCTGCATTTTAATCTTACAAGTATTAAATCTTTGGGAAAGTGGGGATTCAATCCCTCAGGGCATAGACTATCGCAAAGTCCTTCGTCTTTGTTTAGAACGAAGGAATTTTCAAGGAAGTAATTTCTTGAAGAGTAAGGAATTTGCGGAAGTCAATTAGCGATAGTCACGAGGTCGACTTGTAGCAAGTCTACTCAGGGCGTGGCATCGCCAAACGATGTACAGTATGGTAGTCAGCGATATACTTAGATGCATCCTCCAGAAAATAAAGAAGGTGCCTTATTTGACATCCATTACGCAAAAGAAGAAAATATAATGGTGACTTAATTAAATAAAGTATTATCGAAATGTAATTAAAAATTTAAAATACAAGTTTTGTCATGCAGATTTTATCAAGCATCTAAGTGGTTTCCAAATGCAATTAGTTTATATATTAGCTGTTGTATAATTACTATACTACAAGCTTTATATTTTCCTTTGTGCTTCTTTTCTTTCTTTAAGGCCTAAATGTACCGTTTTGCATGTACACATCTGAACTGTAGCAATATTGATAAATGAATTATTTGCCATGCCCTCCTAGATGTCTTACTCTTAATATTACTACACATAAATATTAACTTCATTTCGTTCCATGCAGGTTTTGTGTTACTTGCCACTGGTCAAGAGATTGTCCCGAAACTGGCTGAGGAAATTTCAGTGAAAATTTCCAAGACTTTTTCAATGAATGTTGTTTCAAAATCACTCGAGGTAAAGCGAGCGAAAACTTTCATTCTTTTCAGATTGATCAACTTTCACACATGGCATAATCATCAAAATGTACTGACCATTTATAAGGGGGATCTATTGGAGGAGTGATGGGGCGGGGGTAGGGTGGTTCAGCTTGCACAATTTTTTCTCTTTGCTTTTTTTCTTCTTTTGTTTTCCTTTGGGCGATCTTTTTGCCCCCCCCCCCTCCAACACCTTTGTAACAGTCCACCCCTAAATTGATAATTAAATTAAACAGTGTCATGTCAGTTTAATATTATGTAATTTCATAGACATCGAGAATTTAATTAACTAAAAATTATGCCTGAATCTCAATATCTAAATATGAATATTTGCCATGATTTAAACCATTCATTCAGCTTGGAGCACTGAAATTTTCACTATTTTATCTTATTATAATATTAGTAAATGAAACAATTATAAGTAATATATGCAATATGATCGGCCGTGTTGAATATATTTTATATTGTATTATATTACAACAGAGACTGTAATTTCAAAATTTTCCTGGAAAGCATGGCACCGGACCCACCTAGTAGAGTTTGTTTAGTCCCCACCCCTACCAAACCAATTTTCCGCCGCCTATGAATATCATTTGTATTGATAATTTTTTTTCAGATCAGACCATCTTCTAATACAGGCCGATACATTGGTGTGTATATATTGAAAAATAACTGGAGTGATAAAGTGAAAGCCACCATCTCAATTGAATTGTTTACAGGACGCTTGATGCTGAAACAAGATCCAGGCTACCCGCCTTATGTTTATCTCAGTTTTATAACTTCCCAACTCTTGCAAATTGTCTACCCTCATGGCTTGACTTGTGAAGGTTATGCGTTGGGACAAGATAAAGAAAACATCAAGTTTAAACATCTTGACTACAAAGGACGCTTCAAGCAATTTACTCTTGGTTCGTTTGTCTTTAAAAGGAGTAATTAATGATTAAAGCCGACAGTTTTCCATTTCAACCATAACTTAACAATATGAAACGTACCAAATTATACCGTTTTGTTTCATTACGGTACGTAGTGGCTGAAAGGTTGCTACCTGCTCAGCAAGATGTGCAGGAAAGTCGGGCAGATAGAAGAAAAAATTAACTTACGTTATCGTGGGACAATTCCGTTTTGCCTTCATATTGTGCCCTGAAGGCTAGTTAGTACGTTTCTGTATGTTGGCCGCGTTGAAATTTCTTGTGGGCTCCTGCCGACACGTTTTTCTTCGAATGTTGTATTAAACTCTATTACAGTTAAAAAATGTGAAATTTCAAATACATTTCTAACACAAATTACTTACATCATTTGAAAGCTTGCAAAAACTACATATAAGATATTTAAACGGTTACCCGGGTTTTTCAAGTTCTTCTTGAGTTATGAGCTGTTGAGTGCGTGTTTTCAGACTAGTACCCAGGAATTTTGCGAGATTTTGGCTTATTTTTCAGTGAAACAGCAATAACTCGAAAACCGCTTGAAAATCCCAACTAACCATTTAAATGTTTCATATGTAGTTTTTTGTTAGCTTTCTATTGAGTTTAATACAACATTCGAAGAAAAACGTGTCGGAGTAGCCCACAAGAATTTAGAGAGTTTGAGCAAGACAACGAAGTACGAAGACGAAGGCATACTTGACAATTTTTTCCGTCTGCGCATTATCTTGCGCATACTGAGTTGGACGTCACTGGTGGTTGCTCAACCTGTCTTCCCATGTGTCGCTGTTTATGAAAACTGACCCTAATTCTTGCCCTGACCCAGAGAAAAACAGCGAGACACGAAACTATATCCCGTCTTTGTCCTTCTGCCTTCGTGCAGAACGAAGTTCATAACGAATTTTGCCAAAATATTCGTTGTGGGCGAAGGCAGAAGAACGAAGACGGGATATGGATTCATGTCTCCCTGTTTTATCCTGATCAGGGTAAGGATTTGAGTCAGCATTCACAAACAGCTAGACATGAATCTCTAACCTGTCTTCACTCCTGACCCTAAAGTCAGAATGCGCAAGATAATGTGCAAGACAGGCAAAAATTGTCAAACACGTCGTGTCGTCGTCGTTGTCCGACTTCGTTCTCTTGCTCAAACTCTCTATTTTAACGCGGCCAACATACAGAAACGTACTTATTGGCCTTCAGGGCACAATATGGCCTTCAGGGCAAAATGGAATTGTCCCATGATATAGTAAGTTTTCCATAATTTTGGTCCTCTATCTGCCTGACATGATTTAAATGATATATGAAGTGTGTCTTCTGTGGATTACTAGCGAAAGGGGAAACACAAACATCACTAAATTATTTAATGTCATCACATCCATGACATCGTACGTCATCAGATATTAAAGCTCAGTGTCACCTGTTGGGCGATGCCGATTATGTACAAATAAGTTATCGAATTAGTTATTGATGTGCGCATGCTCAGCAATTAAATATAACTTCGCTCAACAGGTGACACTGAGCCGTCAAAAATCTGTCTAGAGGATAAAAAATACTCAACAAAACGGCGGTAAATTAGTTCGTTTAGGAAGTCGAATAATATTTATATTGAACATTATTATGTATTTTTATATCGAACATTTTAGTTAAATCAGCTATAAAAGTGTATATAGTATTCGTGTTTCAACAATGATATTCTGAAAGAATTTAGTAGAAACAGTACGTTTAATTAATATTTTTTATACACACACATATCGAAAAACCCCAACCTTTAAGTGCGGAAAGCACAATGGAGTGCTTATATCCCTATCCAAATCATAACTTTCTTTGTATTAACTTCATTAATTATGCTTACCAATTTTCTAAAATTCTACAGTCACACAAGTGAGATACGCTCACACGGTAATTTATTAAATGAACTCGAGGTGGCTTTTAGCAGTTCAGTGAACATCGAGCGGTTGGGGGGGGGGGGGGCAGTTTTTAAAGATCCAGCTGCCTTTGTGCTGAAGTCTCGTGAGATTTTTTGAAATCCACCTATTAGTTGATCAGCGTGTTAAGTACAAGGTTCATATAAATTTGAATAAAACAACTGGTTACAAAATCATTCGATACTAATATGAAAATTTATGGGGACTAATGGACATTACCAAAGGACAAATTAGAGAAATTGGCAAACGTTTGTATTGCTTTGTATAATATAAATTTTGTATAATTTATATTATGCATGCGCATAATCACTTAATCGGCTGACCAGCGGAGGTGTACGGATGAGTGCAATATACAATCAGTTTCAAACGTCTTGGGACAGATGCTACAAAACCTTTGAATTTCAACAAACGACAATCCCCCCACCCCCTGTTCAAGGTTGTGTCCCATTTCTTGTCGGGTTTGATGTGTTTTGGTTTAAACAACATTGATTGGGGTGAGGGAGGGGGAGGGGAGCGGTATTGTGTGTAAAAAACTGTAATGATCCACTTGCAAGCTAAAACTACACGTGTCCCAACAACTTATGAAAGTGATTAGTTAATTAATACACAGGCGGCCCAATCTTAATTGAAAATTATTAGAAAAAACCTGTGTTATTAATTTATTACGTTATATCTTTATATAATAGTATAATGAAAAGCACTTACATGTGTTTCCTGAAAGATTTTAACGAGAACCGGCCAAGATTTGCGTTGACAAGAGGTATTAGAAAATCCTGTGTTATTAATTTATTACGTTATATCTTTATATAATAGTATAATGAAAAGCACTTACATGTGTTTCCTGAAAGATTTTAACGAGAACCGGCCAAGATTTGCGTTGACAAGAGGTTAACGGCCATAGTTGGGGTTGACATGAGGATTAACAGCGAGAAATAATACTCAAGGCTGGTGGTCACTTTGACCGTTAATTGGACTAATTGGGACAAACGCTGACAGAAATCAATCGAATAACGCGAACTTCGGCTGTCGCATCCTCGCCAAATTACGATACATTGGAAGAGCGATAATTTTTACATATTATACTTTTCTTTAACAGAATTTAACAATAATCTTCTTGCAGAAAATGCCAATTTAAACTTACAAATGTCTAATCTTCCGAGGTTTGTGATCGGTATGAACTCATGGACTTCAAATTCGAATTACACGCTGCATTGTCATTTGTCGGCTTTCAAAACAACAACAGGCCATTTCCGGTAAGAGAGCGAACGTTTGGGGAGTTAGAGAATGGCCTCTGCGAATGGCCTGTTGTTGTTTTGAAAGCCGACCAATGACAATGCAGCATGTAATTCGAATTTGAAGGCCATAAATTCAGATCGGTCACCAACCTCGGAAGATTAGACATTTGTAAACTTCAATTCGGCATTTTCTGCAGGAAGATATTGTTCAATTCTGTTAAAGAAAAGTATATTATGTAAAAATTATCGCTCTTCCGATGTAACGTAATTTGGCGAGGATGCGACAGCCGAAGTTGGCGTTATTCGATTGATTTCTGTCAGCGTTTGTCCCAATTAGTCCAATTAACGGTCAAAGTGACCAGCCTTGTATTATTTCTTGCTGTTAATCCTCATGTCAACCCCAACTATGGCCGTTAACCTCTTGTCAACGCCAATCTTGGCCGGTTCTCGTTAAAATCTTTCAGGAAACACATGTAAGTGTTTTCTAATGATTTTCAATATACTATTTATATAAAGATATAACGTAATTAATAACACAGGGTAAAGAGCTGTTTACATGATCCCGCTTTGCCGGGACGAGATGTGAGGCGGGATGATTTTGACGTATTGAAATAAGTCACGGTGCGCGATTTTTCTAATGATTTTCAATATACTATTTATATAAAGATATAACGTAATTAATAACACAGGGTAAAGAGCTGTTTACATGATCCCGCTTTGCCGGGACGAGATGCAGGATGATTTTGACGTATTGAAATAAGTCACGGTGCGCGATTTAGCAAAATCACATTATTTTTTTAATGATAGATTACAGTATAATTGTAAACGAAAGGTTGTTCAAGCAGCAATAATAATCTTCTTGAACTACGAGACCTTCTCTAACAACATTTCAGTTTCTTTAACCGTTGTTTGAACGTTCGTTTAAGCCTAGTCATTTATTTCAATACACCAAAATCATCCCGCCTTCCATCTCGTCCCGGCAACAAGTGTTTACATGGAAGAAAACGTCCCGGTTGAGGCGGGATCCCGGTTGCACAAACCGGGATCCCACTTGCCCGGGACGGGACAAAAAACGTCCCGCTTCCATATAAACATCTGGGGCCGGTTGTATAAAAACGTAATTAGCGCTAACTGTAGTTAGCGTTAATCACTGTAGTTAAATCCTTAACTGTAATTAGTTAACTACAT